ATGTAAGGACACAGTGAGAAGACAAGGAGAGGCCTCGGGAGAAACCAAACATGCTAGTGCCTTTATCTCAGATTTTGCAGCCTCCAGAACTGTGAGACAATACGATTCTGTTGTTTAAGTCACCTAGTCTGTAGTATTTGTTATAGCAGCCCTAGCAAGTTAATACAAGGCTCTACAGTCTGTCACAACTATCAAATCTGCCTGTGAAGAGTGAAAGCAGCCATGAATAATATATAAACATATGTGCCTGTGTTTCAATAGAACTTTATTTACAAAAATGGTGCAGGCTGGATTTGGCCCATAGGCTAAAGTTTGCTGAGCCCTGAGCTACAGTATTTAAAGTCAGGTCTATATCGAGTGGGACACCAGATTTGAAGTGTGAGCCTCAACTCCTCATATAAAACATCATTTATAGATTCAACAGACATTATGTATACACCTTTTCTAGAAACTCAATATGAGGTATAAAAAGATTTAACTTTCATATATGACTTCAAAAGTCTTAAAATGTTATTATAGTGTTCACCTTGTAACATTCCCCAGTGTTTTTAATTTTTAGTATGAGATAATATTATACTAAAATATTTCACACAGTTTTCACTTTCTTGGTTTTGTTTTTGATGGGCTTGTTGATATTGACTACATGACATGCTACAAATAAAATATTTCCACAATTATATTTATAGAGTTTCTTTCTTTGATTAATTTATTGATGTTGAAGAATGCCTGTGCTTATGCTGAAATATTTCTTACATTAAATACATTTGCTGAATTTCTCTACATTCTGAACTTCTTTGTGATTGGCACATTATAAAGGTTTCTTTCTCTTATGAATCCTTTGATGTTGAACAAGGTATGCATTTACGGTGAAGGCCTTTCCACATTCTTTACACCGATAAAGTTTCTCTCCAGTGTGCATCGTCTGGTGTTGAGTCAAATATGTATTCTGACCAAAGGTTTTCCCACACTCATGACATTCATAGGGTTTCTCTTCAGTATGAGTCCTCTGATGTTGATTAAGGTGTGTACTTCTGCTGAAAGACTTGTCATATATTTTGCATTTATAAGGTTTCTCTCCAGTATGAATTCTTTGGTGTTGAGTAAGGTGTGTATTCCATCGGAAAGCTTTCCCACATTCATTACAAAGGGTTTCTCTCCAGTATAGATCCTCTTATGTTGAATAAGGGATGATCCATGACTATAGGCTTTGCCACATTCAGTACATTCATAAGATTTCTCTCCAGTATGCGTTCTCAGGTGTAAAGTAAGTTGGATGCTCTGGGTAAAGGCTTTCCCACATTCTTTACATTCAAAGGGTTTTTCTCCAGTATGAATCTTCTTATGTTGCATCAAGGATGAACTATGACTATAGATTTTACCACATTCAGTACATTCATAAGGTTTCTCTCTAGAATGAATTCTTAGATGTAGGGTAAGTTGGATGCTCTGAATAAAGGCTTTGCCACATTGATTACATTCATAGGGTTTCTCCCCAGTATGAGTTTTCTGATGAGGAGTAAGATGTGAACTTTGGCTAAAGGCTTTCCCACACTGACTACATTCATAAGGTTTCTCTCCTGTGTGAATCCTCTGATGCTGTGTGAGGCATGTACTCTGGTAGAAGGCTTTCCCACATTCACTACACTTATAGTGGTTTTTTCTCCAGTATGAGTTCTCTAATGTAGAATAAGAGATGAATCCCAGCTGAAAGACTTCCCACATATATTACACTCATATGGTCGCTCTCCTCTGTGGCATCTTTCATGTTGTATAAGGTGTGTTCCCCTACTGAAAGATTTCCCACAATTTTTGCATTTGAAGGGCTTTTCCCTAGCACCCACCTTCTGACTTCTAATAACATATGGATTAACTTCAGTATGAAAACTCTGGTGTTGAGTGAGATCCAAACCACAGCTAAAGTATTTCCCACATTTATCACATTTGTATGATTTTTCACTCATGTAGTTTCCCTGATGGTTACTTAGATCTAGGTTATGTGAAAAGCTACTGTCATCACTGTCATCTTCATGCACTATTTTCCCCCAAAGAATTTTGTTTTGAGTAACAAAATTTGATTGCTGTCTAAACTCTTTCTCAAATCCATTACCTTCATAAACGTTCTCTAGAATCATGCTTTTTTTATGGGTAAATGCCATCTGCCCTAGATGGCTCTCTAAATGGCCAAGAGATCCTGGGACTTCTCTGGTGGAGTCACAGATTCCATTCCTTTTACCTTTGCTGATTATCATGCCCTGGGAAAATTCTTTAGAAATTACTTGCTTCAGATTGACTCTTCAGTTCTAGATCCAGTCTCTTGGTCTGAAAGAAATAAAAGATGGAGAATATTTGACCATGCAGAGAGACAGAAAATGTGAGCTAGTCAAAGCCACATATAATATTATTACTTTTATTCTTTAATTCCCCAGAGATATGTGGCTTTGATGATTCAAAATAAGTTGCATAAGGTAAGAACAACTGTGCATAGGAGCAAGGAAGAAGTGAACAGGGAAACGCAAATGGTTATGGGGTGCTGATAAGTGAAGCACATGTGGACTCCCTTCAGGGATGACTGAAGAGTGAAAACCACGACCCTGAGAATGGATGAGGGGGTGGTGATGAGGTAAATTATTAGAATAAGAACCAGTGGAGGAAAGGCAGGTCAGAATATCAGCTGGAGTCACCACGTGCCTAGGTCACTGTGAAATGTCACCACTAATCTCTCAGCCCACAACCTCTTTACCCTGTTTGTCCACCTTGTAAGCTGCCACAGTTAACTTCCCTGAAACACCAATTCACCAGATCTCTAAGGATGGTCCCATTCCACCCTTTCTGCTGCTATCAGAAGCAACCCGCGGTCACTGCTGAATTGACTAGGGAGTCGCTGAGTTAGGCATGCAGAATCTGACATAGGCGAAGGGCCATGTGAAGACAGGGACCAGGAGCTGAATGAACTGGCAAGTGACTATGGGAAGTCTTTCCAGGGCTGAATGTAGCAGGCAGCAGAGAATCACAGTGGATTCTGACAGGTGGTGGCTGAAATTACGAGGATGTTCCTAGTAGAACTGCTTGACAATAACATTCAAGGTGGGTTAAGGGAAGAGAGAGGGAGCAGAGAAATCCTGTCCCACTGTTCGTACTGGCATGAGGCAGCAGTGTGTGGGCGATTTTGTCAGAACCTGGAGATAGGCTATGGGTGATGAGGGGTGGGAGAGGTTGGGTGACTAAATGGTTTCTATGCTGATTTTGGTGGGACATCTGAGGATCCAGGTAGAGACATGAGAGCAGAGGGGAGAGCAGGGCTGGAGTGCTGGGAAGACAGAGGAGCCGGGGTGCAGACAGCAAGCCTTCCGTACAGGGGCCATCAGGTCTGGTCCTTCTCAAAGAGTGAATAGAGAAGCGCAAAAGGTGACAGGGACAGGAGATGAAGGAAGGCAAATGAGTGAGGTGTGGTGGCGAGGGAGGTGGGGACATGAGGAGGAAAGAGCCGCACGAACTTCTAGAAACAGGGATAGGAAGCCTCCTTGGATCCAACCGGAATAGCTGGGTGGTGACCAAGGGGATGAGAGGAAAGAGAGATGTGAAAGTGGCCTCAGTGTCCACTGAGGGGCTTCTCTCGACAGGGCAGATGCCTGGCAGTGCGAGGAAAGGGTGCACTGGGGAGCAGGAAATAAGAAAGCCTGCCTGGCTGGGGAGGGGCCCAGGTGGACCTTGTGCAGGGGCCGAGAAGAGCAGGAGGACGGGAGGTGGCTCCGCGCAGGGACTGCTCCCCATGCGGCCCTGACTCCTCCGGGGACAACTCCATGGCCAGCACTTCTAGAAACCATCAGTTTCCTGGACAGCCTTATGTGGGAGCCCCCTCACCTCCTTCCCACCTGTTCACCTGGAGAGAGGCCCCTAGTGATTCCCCTCCACGCCATCCATGGAGATCCACTTTGCTCCAACTGGGAGATCACATCAGGCTTGGAATCCTGGCACCCTGCTCAGGAAAGACAAGAGGTGTAGGTATTGGGGACAGTGACAGGTATGAGCCCAGGGCCCTGCCTTTGGGACCTTTGCAGCATAAATGATGTGGGGTCTCGGGTGAAGGGGGAAAGTCTTGGCCTCCTGTGCCCAACCACACAGAAGATAAGCAGTAGAAACAGTCCAAGTTTACGTCCTCTGAATATAAAAACACTGTTCTGTGGATCAGAGGCCTCCAAGGAAGGCTAGCCCTCCATGCCTCTGCACATCTAAACTTCTTTCCAGTTGTATCTTTTAAAATTACGCATATTTTCATTATAATCTATAATATATCCATGTTTATTTAATATAAAAGTAACCACTTGCCAGTTAAATTATTTAACTCTTCCTTCTCATCAGCTAAGCAGACAATCTGAGCCATGACTCCTGTTTCCCCCGCACCTCCCACGGTGCTGTCTGGTGCAGCCTCCCCAAGCCAGCACGGATGGTGTCCCTTGGGTGACCTCACCCAGGGCGGCCTCACCTCGCAGTACAGCGCCCTCTGAGCGGTGCCCAGGTGCTCCCACTCCTCCTGGGTGAACTCCACAGTCACATCCTGGAACGTCACTGGGTCCTGAGGCATGACACACAACATTGCTAGGCAGTGGGAATGTCACACACAGCAAATTACAGCATGTGGCATCCGGGCAGGCAGAGGAAGGGAGATGCAAATAAAACAGTAACCTACATTGATCTCAACACAAAACATTAGTAACAGTCTCATTCAAGCAAGAACAAGACACCAACGCTGAGCGTGCTAATCTAACATTCTCTTGGAAGTTTTGGTAAATGCAGTAAGATATTCCAGTGGAGTAATGACAGCTATAGGTACAAACTGAAAATCTCAGGGACACCATGTCAATAGGGAAAAGGAAACTGTAGGTAAATACACGGAGTATGCATTTACTCAGTGTTAGGAACTGAACTGTATTCCCCCCAAAGTCTTACATTGAAGCCCCAACCCCCAATGCGACAGTATTTGGAGATGGGGCCTTTTAAGAGGTAATTCAGGTTAAATGGGGCCTTTAGGATGACGCCCTAATCCAATAGGACTGCGTCCTTATAAGAAGAGGAAGAGATGCCAGGGGCATGCGCACAGAGAGGCCATCAGAGGACACAGTGAGAAGGTGGCCATCTGCAAGCCAGATAGAGAGGCTCACCAGAAACCAACCCTGATGGCACCTTGATCTGACTTCCAGCCTCTAGAACTGTGAGAAAATAAATACTTGTTGTTTAAGTCACCCAGTTTATGATATTTTGTTATGGCAGCCCTGGCAGATTAATACATTTAGAGTTCAAACATACAAATTCGAGCAATATATTGTTTAGGGATATATGTAGTAAAACCATAAAGCAAAGCAAAAAAAAAAAAAAAATCCTAGAAACTTCAGGATAGAGGTTATATCTGAAGGAGGAAGGATACCACAAAGCAAAGCAAAAAAAAAAAAAAAAATCCTATAAACTTCAGGATAGAGGTTATATTTGAAGGAGGAAGGACAGGGATATTTTTAAGGCGACTAGATGGACAAGGAGGAAGGCTGGTGAGGACGCAGCGAACAAGAGAGAACTCGGTGGTGGTTTGTGTAGTAGAATGAGGCTGAGGAACAACTTGTCTGTAGCTTAGCACCTCAACTGTGTCCTCCTTCTCATTCTCTCCACCAATATGGCACCACCCCCTCTTTCCTCCTCCTCTCCTGGCCCCTCCTGCTCAGACCCCTGGGCTTCCCCATCATTCTCCTCCTTCAATGACTGGGGTCCACAGAGCTCTATCCTGGGCCCCCTGAATCCCTTTTTCCTCCCCTCTTTGGGGTTTCCATGGACTCATCTACTCCCAGGGCCTCAGGACCAGATTCCTGCTCCCCATTCCCAATGCTGGCTTCCAGGTCTGAATCCTTAAGTTGTCAGAATAGAGTGAGCGGGAAGAAAAGGAAGTCACTGAAGAATCTGGGCCAATAGTGTCATCTCCATCGCTGGGGGACATGCCCTTCTCCACACAAGCAGAGGCCCCATGGGCAGTAGTGCCTATCTCACTCTCCATGAAATAGAGACCCTATGAGTGGCAGTGCCTACCTCACCACAAATGAAGCCTCTTCACTAAAGATCCACCAACACCACCCAGGGCCAAGGGCAGCAGAGGCTGGGGGACAGACCAAGTGTGAGGGCTGAGTCACGCAGGGCAGCCTCACCAAAGCCATGAGAGGGCAGAGAAAGCCTGAGAGATCCAACCAGGTAGCAACTGCCTCAGCATTACCTAACCGAAGCAGACACCCACATAATTCAAAACCACAGAAGAGCAAAGGGACAAGAGTAGCTGATCTACCAGCTGAGAACACGTCCCCAGGCTGGTCAGACAAGGGCTGAGTAAACATCTTGTTCTCTCTGGTCTGGTTTAGTTCATCCAACAAGTACAGACTGAAATGTAAGTCCATCGAGGAGACATAAACTTATCGAAATACTCAAGGTTTTTAAATTGTTTCACAGATGATCAACGTGAGATTTTTTTAAAGGATATAATTATTAACTTGTAATAAAATTTGCAATCTGATTTTTCAACAGTAAAAAGCTACAAGCATCTATTAGTAAGGTTTTATAATAATTTTAATTACTAGGAATAAGAGAAGTCAGAAAAGGATAAGTATGCAACATAAATAAACAAAAAAAATCAACTGTTCTTCATACAAAATTCCTACCCATGTGGGCAGCAGGCTTTGGACGTTAATAAATTGATTTAAAGATTTAAATAGAGACTTAGAGACACTAGGTTTGGTTATAAATTGATATTTTGCTTCTGGTTAAAAACTTAAGTGAAACATGATGACAAACTGAAGATCTTTATGTCTAGGGAATTAATTTATCCAGATCCTACTGGATAAGAGCTTCTCTCAGCTAGGTGTTATGTTCATAATTCCTTCTCAAAATTCAATGTCTAAAATAGAAAGTCATTTTTAAGGGTACAGCAGATAACCTATATAGAGAACTCCGAATGGGCTGTTTCCTTTAACCACTGATAACTGAAGAACTGAATTCAAGGCTTTTAGTGTATTATATATACTAAGGACAGATGGTATTATCTTAATCATGTATTTGAAGAAAAAAAGTAAAGTCTTTAGGAAAGATCTCATAAGGAGGCTAACTGACATTGTATATTTGTGCATTGATTTCACCTTCGGAAGAAGGAATGAAACAACAGTAACTTTTGGTAACTGGATAATGGAGTGAAAAATATATTGTTGAATATATATTTTTCCAAATAATTATGGGCTTATCTGGAGAACAGCAATCATATCTGTCAAAAATAAAACATACTAAACATGAAAAAATATGAATGGAAACAACCCAAGAAATGTTTTATAAAGAAGCCAAATGTGGGAAACTTGCCCAATTAGACATTGGTTCAAAACCATGGTCATTAAAACAAATTATATTCATGAAATCAGGCAGCTCAGATGGCCTGGAAACAGGTGCCTATTCAGAAATACACAGAGGCTTTTTACTCAACAAGGGGAAATGGACCATTCAGGAATGGTTTTGGACAGCTGGCTAATCACTTGACAAAAAATAAAAATAAGATACCTACCTCGACCCATTCTTAAGGACTAAATATGTTAATTTTATGTTAGTACTCACAGAAGGAGCTATAAGCTTTTTGAAAAGAATAACTTTGGGGAAGGCTGACACCAAGGCCAGAATCCATTCTGAAAACAATGGGCACAGTTGAAAATAAAGAAACCAAGATTTTCTGTAGGGCTTAAACAAATCTGAAAGACAACTAACTGGGCAAAGGAATTTGCAATACACATTATTTTCAAAGGATTGATAAGCTTCTATTTTTGTTTTTTTTTCTTTTTAAAAAATTGTATTTATTCTTCACTTTTTATTTATTTTTATTTAAGTATAGTTGGTATATAATATTATATTAGTTACATTAATTTCAGGTGTACGATATAGTGATTTGGCATTTTTATGCCTTACAATGTGATCACCCTACTAATTCTACTAATCATCTGTCACCTTGCAAACTTATCACAATATTATTAACTATATTCCCCCTCCCTTTTTCCATCCATCCCCCCCACACACTCCCTCCTCTCTGGTAACCACCTCTTTGGTCTCTGTTTCTATGAGTCTGTTTTTATTTTGTTTTGTTTGTTAATTTGTTTTGTGGTTTTTTTTTTTAGATTCCACATATAAATGATATCATATATAAAAAGTTATTATAAATCAATAAGAATAAAACAAGAGAAAATGAACATAAGGTATGAGTAAACAATTCACAGGAGAAATTCAAATGGCTAATAAATATATGAAAAGATGTTCAACCACACTAATAAAAATTTGAAATATAATTTAAAAGAATAACCTTTTTAAATCTATTAAGTCGGCAAAGATTAGAAAGTTTGCTAGACTTCATTTTCTAGTAATTGAATATACAAATTATCCTCCAGCTAAGAACAAATAAAAATGCTGGATAAAATGCAGGTCTTTTAGGGAAAAAAACGACAAAACTTTAATGAGACATAAAAAGACTAATTACTAAAAAATAGATATTCTTCATTAATTTATTGTAAATTTAAATAAAATGCAAAATAATTATTTTGCCTTGCTACAAAAATGACATTAAAGTTCATCTGGGAGAAAAATCAGACAAAAAAAATTTTACAAAGCTACAATTATTAAATTACCTTTGCTTTAGTTAAAAAACTTTGCCTGAGTTTAAAAACAAATAATGGAATGGGCTAGATAACCCCCAAACCAGGTTCTTGTATATTTAATAATTTAACATATAGATTATAACACAAATATCTGGAGGACAAATTATTCAGTAAATAGTGTCAAAATCACTGGTTATATATGCCAACAAATTGGATAGCCTAGATGAACTGAACAAATTTTCAGAAACCCCAAAACCACCAAAATTAATTCAAGGAGAAATAGAAAAACTAATTAATAAGTAAGGATATTAAATCAGTTATCGAAAACCTCTCAAGAAATAAAAGCCCAGGATCAGATGGCTTCACTGGTGAATTCTACCAAACACTTAAATAAAACTGAAGGGGAGGCAACACTTCCTAACTCATTCTGTGAGTCCATCATTATCCTGATACTGAAACCAGACAAAGAAAACTAGAAAACTACAAAGATCCCTTATGATAAAGATACAAAACCCTCAACAAAATAGTAGCAAATTGTACTCAGCAGTACATTACAAAGATTACACTCCACGACCAAGTGCAATTTACCCTAGGAATGTAAGGGTGGCTCAACATACGAAAATCAAGAATGTAATATAATACACTGATGGAATGAAAGAAGAAAAACCACAGGATCATCTCAATTGATGCAGAAAAAGGATTTGACAAAATCCAATATCCTATCATGATAAAAACACTCAACGAATGAAGAACAAAAGGAAACGTTTTCGACACTAATAAAGGTCATATGAAAAACCCATAGCTGACATCATATTCAGTGATGCAAGTCTTAAGGCTTCTCTCCTGAGATAAAAAATAAGACAAGGATGCCACTTTTGCTACTTCTATTCAGCATACTACTAGAAGTTAAGCCAAAGCAATT